GGGTAGGTGGAGGAATGTAGGTTTAATGTATGATGTGGTGGGTCCCACATGTTTGTGTGTTTGATACAAATATCTAAATTACCCTTAGATAGTGATAAAATTTATATATTTGTCCATTATATATCTACTTATTTATCATATTGCCATTAATGATTGACAATAATTTATTAAAGTTTGACTTAATCATAAACATTGATATGGTATATCCAATGGTCCAGATTCTTTCTTATTTCTTTCACTATCTACCATTCTCATATGATCCCAACTATATATATACATATATATGTATATATATATATATATATATATAGTAATATAAAGAGGTTGTTGGAAAAATACAAAAATAGTAAGTTTGACTTAAGAAATAAATTTTTAACTTACTATTAAAGATTTTTTTTTAAAAAAACACGTGCACTAAATATTGTGAAACAATTGAGATTATACCATAAAATTTGTATCCCATTTTTATTGCTAACAAAATTAGTTAATCTTAAGTGTTTAATGTCAAACCTTGTCAGTTATTTAGGAAATAATATATTCAAATCAATTTAAAAACCAGTGCAACTCCTTTCAAATTCGTATCTTTTTTTTAAAAAAAATAAAAAGAAAACAAAATTGTTTAATTTTGGTGTTTAATGTCAAAACATAACTAATTATTTAGGAAATCTAAAATTCAAATCAATTTTACGTCATGAATTTTCGCTTAATAATCGAGTTTTTGAATCCAAATTTACCCTCAATTCCGTGAAATTAGCTGTAAATGTAGTTTCCAAATGCCATTTCGTATTTAATTTATCCCCATAATCTGGCAACAATTGAATTATATATAAAATTTTCTTCAATTATATTTCAAAAGATCTTTTGTGTTATCCCAATAAAAGACTTCTTAGTGAGGCTATTCGGAAATCTATTATTGGAATATATCCTTGCATATCGTATTTCAATTAAGCAAGAAGATTTAACATATTTGGTGCCATTTTTCATATCAATGTGTTGAGCAATTTTTTTTTCGTCAAAATCTCGAAATCACGCAACCGAATCCCTTTTAAAATCTCTTATTCTGATTCTATGCTATGTCAAAAACTTTTTTAAAAAGCATTGGTATTATCAATCATTTTTATTTTCAAGAATCGTTTTTGTTGTTTCATCAGGATCTTCATTTACTCTTCATAATT